CAAGTTCGCGAGAGTCTCAGAGGGAACCGCACCTGGCGCAGACACCCGTGCAGAAGTTGGGGAGGATGGATCCAGCATTAATTGTTCCGCAAGGGTCGTTGAATAACTCCGCGGGTGAATCAGCACCAACTGCGCACTCGTCATTTCGTGTTGGCGTTACGGAAGATAAAAATAGAAAATGTCGAAGGACTATGGAAGATACACATGCGTATCTTTATAATTTTCTTGGAACATCGGCTCCTACCCCGGCCAAAACGGAATCGCCAGCACACAGCAAAGCTTCCGAAGAGTCGATATCTACAACCAATGATTCTTCTGATTCTATGCCTATGATTGAAACTGATAATGGATACTTTGCCATTTTTGATGGGCATGCTGGCACTTTCGCTGCGGAATGGTGCGGTAAAAAACTCCATCTTATACTGGAAGATATAATGAGAAAACACCCGAATTCTCCAGTTCCGGAACTCCTAGACCAGACTTTCACAAACGTGGATCAACAACTGGAGAAACTTCCTTTAAAAAATAGTGGCTGCACCGCTGTAACTGCGATATTACGATGGGAGGATCGAACTACTGTGCCGACTCACAATCCAACTGCACCCTCAGCGGGGCAATCCAAGCCAGGAGCAGATAAAGGCAATACCGCTGTACTACCAGTGCAAACATCCAGAGATGCATCTGGCCTATCAACCTCAGCCCCAGAATCTACAAATCCAAAACCCCAAGAAACAATCACCTCTCGACATCGTGTTCTATACACTGCCAATGTGGGCGATGCACGAGTGGTCCTATGTCGAAACGGCAAAGCCCTGCGATTATCGTATGACCACAAAGGTAGTGACGAGAACGAGGGGAAACGAATATCCAACGCGGGAGGCCTCATTCTCAATAATCGCGTAAACGGTGTTCTTGCTGTTACTCGGGCTCTGGGAGATTCGTATATGAAAGACCTCGTCACTGGCCATCCGTACACGACGGAGACAGTCATCCAACCTGAAACGGATGAGTTCATGATTCTAGCTTGCGATGGTGTAAGTGTATTTTATTATTGTCCATTTTAATCGCACCCTATTAATCGTAACTTAATCGCTTGAACTAACCTCTTCCGGCTAAAACCTTTAGCTATGGGACGTCTGTTCCGATCAAGAAGCTGTCGACCTCGTCCGCGGCACAGAGGATCCACAAGTCGCCTCGAAAATCCTCGTTGACCACGCCCTATCCCGTTTCAGCACGGACAACCTCTCCTGCATGATCGTCCGCTTTGACACCAAAGCTATCCAGCTGGCCATAAATCAACGCACGCCACCGTCCGCTGCAGACAACAATCTTTCCACTTTTGGTATCCCTAATAGTAATAATAACGATTTATCTGCCAAATTTCTGGGCGGCATGAGCGAGGCGGACAAGATCGTTGAGGAGACGAGGAGGAAAGTTCGTGCTGGGAAGTTGGGGGGTGAGGTTAGTGCTGATGACGACGATGACGAGAATGCTATGCCTATTGAGAATCTTTCAGCTGTGGAGAATGAGGATTTGGGGCCTGAGGTTTCGCCAGCTGAGTTGAAGGGGGTGATTGAGGGGACCAATTTGGATTTGGGAGTGAAGAGGAGTAAGGTCGATAAGGATAAGAATGGGGTTGTGAGTAGAGATAAACAGGGTGATATGGGATAGAAAGGGGTGAGATGGATTTACTCGTGGACCATGGCTGAGGGCTTTTTCTTCTTTTTGTTATCTTTATTCCTCTTTACCCTGATTTCTTTCTCAGGCATGTTTTGCCACCTTTTCGGACGCTCATCATGAAAACCAAGACTGGAAAAGACAGATGAATACGGTTCATTTATGTCCTTTTACGGGGTTTAAGCACGATACGAAGAAATGATCATTCCAAGGTTCTGTTCTCCTATGCTTTTTTTGTACCCTCTATGGTTTTTTGGTCTCCCTACCCCTTTCTGCAAAACTAGCCACAAGGAAAACATGGGGTAACGCTTGATTGCTTTCATTGGCTTTTAAATGTATCATCTTTACCTATTTCGTTCCTTTTTTTGTCATTTTTCCAGTCTCGTTTTTCTCGAGCTTGAGCCGTTGTAAACTTCCCCAAACCCCTCTTCTTCCCCACCCTCGCTCAATTCCATCCTCCATTTTATTTTGCTGACATTCTATTTTATTTTCTATTCTGCCAGTGGCCCACTGCTGCTGCCTCCATCCCGCTTTTTCTTTTTCTTCTTTTCATGCTATGCTATCTTATGCCACGCAACGTTATTTCATGCTATGTTACGTTTTGACGTCCCAACGCACATTATGATTTTTGTATGTATGTATATACGGAATACAGGTGCAATGCGAGGTATTGAGTGAATACGTACTCTACCGTACTGGATACCAACCACTACTGGAGGTAAATCTAATCAGGAAGAAATGCAAAGGGCGAAACGGTTTAGTATGGAACGGGGTGAGAAAGGAGATGAGGATATGGATTGGATGGTTCCTGTGTGTCTGTTTGTGTTTCTGTTCTTTTCTTATTTCTGGTTTTCCTTTCTTTCCCCCGTCTGCTTGAGTTTCCTGGTTGGGTGCCATGTTTCGTGTTTGTTCTCCCTGTTCTGCCAGGATTTCTGTTTGGTGAAATTCAGGAGTTCGCTTTGATATTTACCTTCTGTTAACTTCAAAATTTTCACATGGTAGGGCGATATTTGCATTTTTTGGTGTTTTTTACTTTTATCTAAGAGTATTTTTTGTCTAATTCAGACTTGAAATGTGAGACGAACGAGATGCGTTATCCCTTATTTTCCTAATCAGAGAGCATCGTGTACGGATTATTCGATAACTGCTCTTCATTCATGCTCTACCAGTGAGCCCTATTCCTAAATAGAATTGGGGATTATCAGCGACATTTTCTTCAGACTCTTGAAGCTTCTTAGGCAATTAATTATTTCACAGTGAGTAGTTATATAAACATTTTGTCTATAAAGTGAGGTATGTCAAACTCAATTACTTTCCATTAAATATTGTTGACTTTGTTCTCCTTTTCACCAGAACAACCTTACGCTGGACAGATGGTAACCTCAGTAAAATCAATTCCCCACTAAAGTTGCTAAATTTTTGGAAACCTAAAAACAGTTTTCCCATAAAATTGGGTTCCTATAAAAATGAGTTGTATATAACTGGTGTCTCAATAACATAGAGGATACATATATCGGTACTATACAAGACCTTGAGGAAAGGAGCAAGGAGATGTAAATTCCTTGACAGGGGAAAGAGTTGAAGATGGTACGGATGATGAAAAAGGAGCATGAGTAAAAGAGACAATGGGGGAGGGAAAGAAACGATATCCTTGGAGACAGCCCATACTCTTCACACTAACCGGTGAAGTATCCAAAAAGTGAAAATGCACGCCATAACCTTCATTTCTATCAGCGTCTTAACTACCAGAACTTCAACTTCTTCAGACCCGACTTCTCTTCCTTTGGAGACTCTCCCTTCTCCTCCTCGCCCCCAGCTTCAGCCCGTCCCTCTCCTTCTCCCTCTCCCTTTCCCGCACCCTCCTCCACTCTAGCGGCAGGAGCAGTCTCAAACTCCGCCAGCGCGGGACCCTCAAGGTCAAGATCAACGCCCATAATATGATCCCCAGTAATTTTCAACTGGCCATGAACGACATTCTTGGGCCACGACTCCGCATATTGCAAATTATGTACGTCCATCCAAAAGATCTTGATCTCCCCATCATTGACAATATGGTGCTCCGTCGGCGGCACATCCGGGTCAATTTTATATGTCGCCGTCGGCGACCAAATCTTTCTTTCCAACTTGGCGATTTTGTCCATAGTTTCCTTCTCGAGCCTCTGCTCCTTCCTGATCGCAGCCCGGATCCGCGCCAGCCTCTTGCGACTGACTTTCCTCCCTTTAGAATCCCTCTTAACTCCATCCTTCTCGATAACGCCTCTCGTCCCACTAACCACCTTCCCCTCTCCTTCCTTCTCTCCGGTCCCATTCCCATCTTCCTGCTCCGCCTCTCTGGCCTCCTGCTCTTCCTGAGCCTTCAATTTCTGCTCCTGCAACGCCAACACAGCCGCAATATCCGCCACACTGGTCGCCTTCTGGTCCATCAGCACCCGGGCACGCAGTCTCTGGTTAAGAATCTGGCGTTGTTCCATGCGAGGATTCCACTGCTCGTCCCATTCCTCTGCTTTCTTGGGGTCACGAGGGCGCTGGCGGGTGAGCACCTCGTTATCTTTTGATGCGGTGATTATGTCTGTGGGTGGTGCGAGTTGGCGCTGTATAGAGAATTCGCGGAGGAGACGATAGGTATCGAGGCCCAGAGTGGCGGAGGGAAAGTGCACGGAGAAATAAGGGGTCCACATATCCTTGCGCAGGGTTGCGGGGACGGTCTTTTTGCCGTGGTAGATGAGTTGGGAGAGGACCTTGTTCTTCTGGATAGTATATAGTTAGATATGGTTTCACTTTCTTTCTTCCCATATTCAGCGACGGAATTCAACTCACCTCGAGAGCTCTGGTAAACGAATATATAACCTGATTTGTCCGGATGTTAATGTATGCGAATATATTTTTCCCGTGTGTCATGCGATTAAGGGCTTTGCGCAGCCTTGCCGCCTCCTGTGCCCGCCATAGCAGAGCAGCACGGGACGTAGGCTCTCTGACCCTACCCTGAATGGGTTCTGTTGGTTTGGGGAAGCGGACAACATTCCAGGTGCTGACGATTGAAGGGTTGACACGAACGGTCTCCTTTGGAGGCGGTGGAGGTACCTCTGAAGTCGACGAGTCGCTGGAGGAAACCTTTGCAAGCCGCTTCTCCGAACAGACACCCACACCCGCTCCCGCTCCCGCTCCCCTAGTTGCTATAGCAGCTATTCGGGCAGCTGATGTCACGGCCGGTTTGGCGGCCATTTCCGCGGGGGCTGTGAGTGTGCGTGGGTTTTGTCGATCTTCCTACAGAGCCAATTGGTGATTCTCTAGGGCATTGTGACACCTTCCGGAGACGTATGTAGTCAATACTCCTTACGCTTGAGGAGTGCAATGATCGTCGTTATGGTAGTGGTTGTGGTTGTTGCGTTGTCTGTTGTAAATAGTTGCAACTGGCATGAAGTTTTTTGCGGGTTGATTGCCCAATCAGGAACAAAGCCATAGTTGGGCTACAAAAGCTTAGCTTAGTTACAACAGCATGGATGAACGAACATGAACAAACCAACGACAATTAGATATTTACAAAAAGAAGAACAACAAAGGAAACAAAAGGAACAGAGCATCATTTGTCTGATATTTACTGTTATATAGAACCTCTAGCATCTGGTACAGGCGGGATATCATGATCTAGTCCTCGCTGCGCTTGTTCTGTCATCTCGAATCCTCCCCTCCAGCTACTTTGTGAAATCTGCTCTCTGTAGATGAGAGCTCCGTTGACACTACATACTATGCCTCACACATTACGGATTTCCTAGCAATGTCTCATTCTGCATCTACAGATGTCCTCGTCCAGCGACTTGAACAGCTCAGAACTGCAGATATTCAGTGTCGGAAGACATGGTTATTGGTATGCTATGCCCAGCACTCCCTCCATCTACATCTATGCAATCGTTCTATTGCATGCGATTCAAGCAAGTTTTGTAACTTATTTATAGCTAACTGAACTGCTTATTGGTTATATAGAATCGCAAGCTGCGCCATCTCCAGGGCATCTCCGTGCGCAACCTCATCGTCAACTTCCCGGGCAGTACTCATACCCATCCGCGGCCCCGTGGCAAGACCATAGATGACGACAATGTCCCCAACGCACTCCAGACACCCGCAAAGCTTCTCTCGAAGCTTGAACCCAGACCTCCCATCCACCAGTCGCGCTCGTTCACAGACCTCAAGCGCGGTGATCAGTCACCCGATGGGTCCAATATCGAAGAAGAACGGAAACCAGATCCTCCGATAAGCCGCAGGAGAAGTACATTGCCATGGGCCGGTGCCAGTCCGTTCATTCGGCAGCACAAGCTGGAGGCCATTGCGGGTAATAGGATGGCGGATTCCTTCTTTTCACTGCACTGCACCGGCATCGACGAACCCATCTACGTGAGTGAGGTTGTGGAGAAGACCGTGAATCCGAGCTTCAAGTACTTTGATCTGAACGCTTGTGGACCACTGGTGTCACGGCAGGACCAGGTGACGTGCAGGTTTTGGGTGAAGATGGGGAATATGACGGAGTATATATTGCTGCTGAGGCTAGAAGTTAATCTACGCTCCTTGCAGTATATTGGGAATTCGTTGGAGAATTTCCATCATCCACTGCCTGCAAATTGTGTTATGTTTCACTTTCCGGATGGGGTTTATACGAATTTGATGGATATACCGCCCGTACAGCGGTTGCCGTCATTTCCTCTTATTCCTACTACTAAGTCCAATGACGATAATCAACAACTTACATCCTCCTTTGATGCGCTGATGCGCCTCGCCAATCTTGACGATTGCATACAGGATGCGCTCGCGACACGGGAAAAACTCGAAGTCCAAATCAACGGTATACTTGAGAAGAAGCTGAAGGATCTGAACACGTTAAATCGCAAATCTCAAGCAGCAGAAAAGCTCTCAGCTGTAAAAAAAGCAACAGCCTCCACAAAGAAACAGCTACGCCAGAGTGCGAAACGCAAAGAAGAAATCCTAGCTAGTCTCTTAGCGAGGAGAAACGCTATGGCTCGCAGCCGCTTATCGCAAGAAAAGATACAATCCTATCTCTCCGAAGCACACTTAACAATGTCCTCGAGCGAAAATGTTCTCAAGATCACAACAGAGGAGACAATGGGCCAAATACGGCGTATCTGCGAGGACCTGCAGGCTATATACCCCATCGAACCAGTGCCAGAGGAAGCACTCTCCTTCACTATCTGCGGCCGGCCACTCCCCAACTCCACCTTCGAAGACATGGACAAGGAATCCGTCGCGGCCGCGCTGGGGTATACAGCGCACCTTATCTACCTGCTCTCCTTCTATCTCTCCGTCCCCCTCCCATACCCGGTCAAACCCTACCTATCGCAATCGTTCATCCAGGACCCGATCTCCGCAGGCCTCGCACAGCGACAGCGCACGTTCCCACTCTACCCTGTAAACACGCACTATCGCTTTGAGTACGGTGTCTTCCTGCTGAACAAGAATATCGAGTATTTGATGAACAGGATGGGGTTAAGGGTTATTGATGTTAGACATACGTTGCCGAATTTGAAGTATTTGTTGTATGTGTTAACGGCCGGGAAGGGTGAGGTGATTGCAGGGCGGGTGGGGGGCGTGGTGCGGGGGCTTTTGCTGGGCGGGAGGGGTGGAAGTTTGATTGCGTCACCTAATTTGTCGAGAACGGGGAGTGAGGATAGTGGGTTTTCTGGGACTGGGGCTGGAGCTGGAGTTGGGCTTGGGGCTGGGGCGAGGAGGATGCAGGAAAACGTTATTCTGAAGGAGAATGGGGGGTTTTGTTGGGATGGATCGGCAGCTTCCGGGGGGGTTTGGGTGGCGGGGATAGAGAGGGCAGAACAGTAAAAGTCCTAAGATGGATTCTCGAATACCGTCTGAAAAGTCTAGGGGAGAATGGCTTTGATTTTATTCATTTGAAGAAGTGATGGACCACTTGCTTTTTGGCCACTATGTGATTAATGAAGAGGGCCTATTTACCTAGGTATCTAGCTCTGGGTAAAAGAGACTGAGACGTGTATGACTATCATTATTAAGATTTCTTGTCTGTAAGTAAACTAAATACTTTACAATACATCCTGCCCTTTTTTATTCCTGTTCCCCGTAATTGTACCTCGTACCCTTCTGTTCCTAATGTTTTGATGGAATATGATACCCATAGCTATACTCAACGTCCTTGACATTAATGAACATCGCTTTCGTCCCTACCTAGGTAGGTATTTGGTGACAACAGCAGCGAGAATTCACAATACCGATATAAACATTATGTAAAATAAGAACAAGTAATGTAATCGGCCACGGAGTGGATAAGGTCACCGAGCGGATAGCTTCCCATCTCAAATCTCTCGCATTCATTAATTCATTCAATATGCCTCTCAAATCAAAAGATCAAGCTTCTAATCAAGAAGAAAGACTCTTATTAGTCATTAATATCTATAAAACTGGACAAATATTATTTAAATATGCTGCTGCTAAAATATTTAATAATTTTTATTTAACTTTAGTTTATAGACTAGTTGATTGAGCTTCTCATATGAATATATAATCAAATTGTTAAAAACTTACTTCTATGAAAGAAGAATTTCTAGTTTAATGAATACTATTTATGAATAAAGGAAATCAGCCTTCTTGAATCAAAAAATATGAAATATAATATATATACTACTTTCTATTTGAGTTGAATCTACTAACCGTGCCACGCGCACTCACCATTAGTGAGTGCGCCCACTCTAAAGAAAATATCACTGTAATGTAAATCTCTTTTTTGTATATTCATCACCAATTTTCAAAAATTAATAATCACCACCACCATGCTTAATAATATTAAATATTTGGAAGATCAGATTCAGATGGCATTACATCATAAAATCAAAATCAAATTTAAAAATCATAAATGTGGTGTAAGAAATCAAAATTCTATATAAAACTTTATATGAATATATTAATAGAGAAAGATTAAGGAATATTAGAGCTTCAATCAATTAAATGTTGAGTGACAGCCAGGAGAAAGTAACCAAGAAGTGAATTCATCAATTGAATAAAAACTTTTGTCCTTCTATAGTTGAACATATTGAAGCTATTGTAAATCAAATACTAAGTTATTATCAAATCAATTCTGACACTTCTCCTTCTATTACAAGCAAGATATAAGTGTATCAATTTATAAAAACATGTATCAGATTATAAGAGGATTAGGTAGAAATCTATAAATTTTAAATGAGTATCAAATAAAAATATAAATTTTATTGTCAACTGATTCAACTGCTATATATCAGTTTTTTATCAATATAAATTTCACACTAATGATATTATTATATTTGAATTTTCATCTTATACAAGTTATCTAGTATAATTTTTTAATGATTATCTTTTCAGCAATATAAGTATTATTATATAAAAGTAGTTAATGAGGCTATTTGATACAAATATTAACAATATGATAAGAGGCTATTTCTTGCTAATTTAAAGAATGTCTATTATCAAATCTTCAAATCTATTATCATCAGAGCTGAATTTACTGACTATGAAATCTATTTAATTAAATAAAAAGTTATTATTAAATATTTGAGATAATATAATATAGATAATAGTTTAAAGCTATTTGTTTATAATAATAATGAAGAATATTTCAGTTTTATTTTTATAATGTCAAGACTTTCTATACTAGCTCTTTATCCTCATACTGCTTATTAAAGTATTTTAAAATCAGCATTCTTCAGAGAATCAGTATTGTTTTAAGATTCAGCACTTTAGAATCAATATTTCTCAAAAATCAGTTTTTTATAAATAGTACTTTCTGGAAAATAGAATCAGTATTATATTATTAATTCTTTATTTTATAAAAGATTAATAATAAAATTTATTACTACTTATTTATATATATAAATACTCTGAATTTTTAAAATTCTTTTAAGAAATTAATTGATAAGCTACTATTCAATTTTATATATACATTTCATCTATTATTATTCTCTTCTCTTTATAGTACTTATAATATCTATATTTCTACTCTCTTACAATCTTAGTTATAGAACTTCTCGGACTTTTTTTTAATATTTAGTTTATCTACTCTCAGTATTCTCATATATATTAAAATAAGTGATAAAAATAATATTAAGAAAAATATAAATATATTTATCAGCTCTATAGTTATATTAAATTTTATAATTTTAAATTTAATAATATTTTTAATTTTTAATAATTTAGTAAATATTATAAAGAAATTTTAGCAGTTTATAATAATAATTATTTTAAATTCAATGTTATAAAAGTTTTTTTATTCTTTTTAAAATAGTTAAATCTATAATATTAATGATAAAATATATATCTGCAATAATCATTTATACTTTTTAGATCTAAAAAAAAATACTAGAATTAATTTTATATTAATACTCATTTCAGTTATGTTTATGACTAAAATATTACAGTGATCTGAATGATAAATACTTATAATATTGAATTTGATGTTCATTTCTACAAAATAATTTATATTATTAAATTATATATCAATATTATAGAGCTGTAGAAACACTTAAAATGAATGAACTAAGTGTTAAAAGAAAGTATAAAAAGCTCTATAATTAAAATTATAAGAGAATAGATGTATAGATACAGCAAGCACTACAGAGAGAAGAAAATAGCAATGAATAAAAATGTATATATAGAATTGAATAGTAGCTAATCACTGAATTTTTTGAAAAAATTTTAAAGATTTAAGATATTTATATATATAAATGAGTAGCAATAGATTTTATCTCTAATCTTTTATAAAATAAGAAATTAATAATATAGTAATCTGATTCTTTATGAAGTGCTAGTTCTATTTTTCAGAAAATGCTAATTCTAAAAAACTGATTTTTAAAAAGTATTGATCTATGCTAATTTCAAATGTTAAATTTTAAAGTGATGTTGATTCTTTAAAAGATGTTAATTCTTTGAAAGATGCTAATTCTAAAGTACTTGATAAGTAGTATAAGAAAATAAGCACTTTAATAAGTAGTATGATAAGTAGTGTGAGAGCAAGAAGCTAGTATATAGAGTTTTAATATCACAGTTGCCTCTCTTTTTTATAAACACTGACCTTAGTAGTTTTAGAAAATAGTTATTTTGAATATATATAAACATAAAATGTTTATTGATATAGAAAATAAAATATGAGTGTAAAGTATTTATTGATATAGAGAATAATATTTATGATGCTTATTCAATAATATTGAGAGACTAATTATATAAAATAATTATCATAAGAGTATTTATTACTATAAGAATAAAGAGAGAAGATATTTTTTACTCTTTAAAACTTTTCTTTCTCTATAATCTCTCAATTATAATTATTATAAATTTCTTGTAGTTGCTGCTGTTTTTAATTTTAAAGTTTTTCTTATTTTTTTCTTATCTCTGTTAATATGACAGAATCTATTTCTGTATTCTTTAAGTAAGCTTCTCTGTTTTTAGTATATTTGATATTATTATATATGTGATAACAATTAACAATTGATAAATATACTAGATTATAGCTCATAATAATTGATTCTGTAACTGACTTTATCTTGAAGATATTTTCTGTAAGTGATGCTTACTCAAGCTGAGTAATTTATCTATAATATATAATTATTCTCACTATGAGAAGTGCTATGATTTTTATTATCTTGCATATAAGCTGTGTATCTGAGTAAGTATAGTATATTTTTAGCTGTTATGTCAGAAAGATCTTTATATTATTAATATGATAACTAATTATTGCTTATTTAACTTACTTTTTTTTCTGAGTTAAATTAGCTATTTACTTTTAAGACTTTTTATTCTTTGCAAAGTAAAGTCAGTAAAAATCTTATGTTATTTAATCAAGCTGTAGTGTTTGATAGTAGTGTTGATAGCTTCATCTTATACTACTTATTTAGTGAAAGCTCATACTGCTATTTTAATTAATATTACTTATTACACTCAGTACTAAATTAAGACTGCTGATGTGCTGATAGTATTTTTCAAGAATAAGAAGTGAGAGAATGCAAAGAAAGAAATTATATATGAAATAAAAAACTTTGAGTTGATTGAGAAAAAAAGTATTGAGCTTGAAAAGAAAAGAATTATTGTGCTTGAATAGTATATAATAACTGTGATAATTGTGAGTAGAAATTAAGTTAGAGAAAATTAATGATACGTATTTAAATATTTTAATTTATTTTTTTAACTTCAAATAATTAATAAAATAAATTTTTTTTAAAGATTTAATAATATTTAATATTTTAATTATCTCATTAAAACCACATAATCAAAAAACTTATTTGGAAAAAAGTAGTGGAAAAAGTATATATATAAGAAAAGAAAGAATTAATATTTAGTATATTTTTCAAAGTGAGTCTGATACACTTGTTGCTATAATTTCTATTATTCAAAAATATTAAATATCTTAGTCTTCTAAATATTTTTGAGAGATTTTCATGTATCATCAGAAGATTTATAGCTTTTTCATTATATATAGTATTATTTTTCACTTTGATATTTTTTTTCTTTAATATTTTCTCAACTTGAAATTTTTTTTTATCATTCATTAGTTCTGATATTAAAAGTAAAGTAGTATCATTTCTTATGTTACAGAGTTTAAATAGTGAGATATAAAAAACAGAGTGAATATTGCACATTGAGTATTGAGTGTAAAAGAGAGAGTTTATATATCTATATATTTTAAAATTCAATAATTTAAAAAGAGTCAATAAATTTATGATTCAATTTTCTATTGAGATAAAGCATGTGAAAGTTCTCTATATTAAGAAGTACTCAGTTCCTTACATAAAAATGTTTTGCACTGTGTTTGAAGTCATAGTATATCTTTTATATAATTTTGATCT